CGGTGCGAAGCGCCGAAAGCGACGAGCAACGTTGGCATGGCATGGCATACTCATCCGTCACCGCAGTTATAGATCTGAACACCAGACGGCGCGCCAGTTTAATTCGGCGGATTGTCCAATCAGCGTTGAAGTATCGATTGGCGTGGCAAAACGGTAATAAAGGTGCCGGGCACGCCGGCAAAACGGCAGTCGATGAGCAGCGCTGCATCGCGCGGGCGTTGCAGGCAGCAGCAGTTTTGCGTGCGTGAAACGGCGGCGGCTCACGACGACGGCGATGAACATGAATCGCGACCACGGTCGAAGTGTCGGTTTTTTGTTGTAGTTGTCGATGTACCGGAAAACAGGGCGTGCACTGCGCGATCGTCTTGTATGAATGCAAGCCGCCTCGGTCGAACAGCTGAAAGAATTGTTGCTCAGCTGTTTGGATGAGGATAAACGCGTAAGTGGTGGTCATCGCTCGGCGGCGGCACATTAACGAATTATACGAATGTTACTTGTACATGCACTGCTGGTGGCGGTCGCGGGGTCACGTTCGGAAGCGGCACGTAAAAAATATTAGCGGCCGTACGCGCGTGTCCCCGTGCCGTGCAAGTGACCATCAAGTGCAAGTGATTAACGACCACGTATGCTGGCAAACATCTAACCGATTGCTGCTGCTGTTTAGGTAACTGACCTGAGGACAGCTATCGACGCGATGTTGATGATCGAGCGGCTGCCGCTGACCAAGGAGCGTTTGGAGGTGAGTGTCAGACTGAGGTATTGCTTTCGTGAACGAAGAAGAGAGGAGGAGGCGTCGTTGTCGCCCTCCGGTCTTTGTTGTCGCGTTTCGCCAGTGACATACTAAACTGTGAGAGAGACCAGCCGAACGAACGAGCGAGCGAGCGCGAGATGGCTGCCACTCAGCCAGCGAGCAGAGCAGCAGCAGAATCGCTCATGTCGGCGTTCGTTCGTTCGTTCGTTCGTTGGCGTCTTTTTTCCATACTACCGCCACCGAGCGCCGAACACCGACCAACGGCCAACCGCGTAAGCGACGGCGACGGCCGCCGCCCACCGTTGTCAGCATACCCTTCGATCGATAACACGAAACGTACGTACGATACGA